TAGATTTTCCTTTGAGAGGCTATTAATTTGTCTCCACTTTCTCCTAATACTTGGGAAGAACATTAGAAAATCTGCTTTGCTCAGAGAGAGATAGTATTCACTTGTACAATGTATTGATTATAAAATACAAACCTAATAAAGTAACTAGATTGCAGTCCAAATGTTTTTGTCCCCTTTTTAAAAGGTGAACTTTTGAAAGATTATGTGATGAATCACAAATCTCGCTATCTATAAATATTACAGGACTGGTTGCTGGAATTTGTTACCCAAAGACACAGTATTGGTGATGCCAGGTGAGAAAGGCTGTTTTAAGTCTGAGGCTCAGAAAAATTCTTGGGAGGGAAAACAAGTTTTCCTTCCTTAGGAAAAATAGAAAATTTTGAATGAATAGAACAGTAGAGAAATTAGAAAGAATTCTTTGTTAATGCATGCTTTTGAAATGCCTCAGAACTTATGTGCTGAATTTTCAGATTGCAATCTGATAAAGTATTTTTCTATTACAGAAGTATTTTATACCTATATTGGTTATCGCAACACAGAAAGAATTGGAGTGACAGTGAATATAGTTCTGAATGTTCTTTCTATATGACATACTGTACCTGCTTTTAGGCATCACTTCTCTATCACAATTATTGTGTGTGTGTGATAGAACAGAAGAACTGCTGATATAACATAAAACTTTTCTAAAATTTATTCCATAACATATTGGAAGCATTGATTACAATATCTTGATTTCTTAAAAGCTCCATCCAAAACACACATACTTTCTTGTAAACTCCAAAAACCTGTTTTGAATTGTAGTTTTAATAATAAAATTGATTGCTTTTTCATGTGTAACTTTTCATCATTCCTTATGTCAAATTTAATGTACATTTCTCCATTTAACTATTGCATATGAGCACATGGGAGAAATGAAGAAATTTCTGGTACTTATTTAATAATATTTTTGGAACTTTCCTTCCTATAACTTTAGAAAATGCAAAATAAAATGTTTATTCAGAAACAGGTACCACTTTTTTCCTACAGATTTATTCCCAAGCATGTTTGCAACCCTAGGTAGTTGTAAAAGGTGTATTCTCTCCTCTCCACTTCTTCCAGTAAATAATTGATTCTTGTGCTTTCTGAAATACACTATAGGCTCTATTTTCAGTGATGTGCAATAATGTTTAGAACTTCACTGAATAGAGACGTAAAAGAGGCTACATTTCAAACTGGGATCTCAATTCTAGGATCTGAATGATTTGTATGTTGTGTTCCACATCACTTGACACTAGTGACTAAGGTCAGTTCAGAGACAGCAGACCTGCTTTATACTTGTGGAAAAATATAGCTACATATTTTAACATTTTTTCCATCCTTATATTTATAAGCATATAAAGTATGAAACGTGCATGTATTTAAATTGAAATACTTTTAGCCTGTCAATGGAAAGCTGAGCAGCCTGTATATTACAGCAAAGATCTGGCTTAATTAACAGGTCTGTCATTTCCAGGAATTCCATATTGTTCTTGTTTTATAATTAAAATAAAGCCTTTATCAGAACCTACTTGAGTTTGTTTGTTTTATTTTGGCATTTTTGCCTTCCTATTTATTTTGATATTATAATCTAAAATATCCTATTTTAGATTATATTGATACAATCAAAGGCCTTTCTATAATCAATGAAGCACATTGTCCTTGGCTTTCTCAATTTTCCAGCATGCATCAGTATTAATGAATCATGTTCCTCAGCATTTTTCAAAGCAAACTTGAACATCTGGCATTTCTTTTTCTATGTACGGCAATAATTTGTATTAGACTACTAGTTCATCTTTAAAGTATCTTGCAGGGGTTGGGTGGGGAAATGCCCTTGATGCATTCTGAGTGAGATGGTTATGATTTAAACCAAGGTCAGGTGACAGCTCTAGATTTTCCTGCCTCTGAAAGCATACTTGGCATCTTCAGTACAAGTTTTTTAATTGCTCAAGATGTACCTCTTCACATAAGCCTTGGGGTCATGCTAGAAGTGCTTTGCTGCTGAATGGTAAATATGATTTGTATTATTTACATTAGTACATGTGTCAGCAAAGATGTTCCAGAATACAGTAGTGACCCAAATTATTCAGCATATACATGCTACATTCAGTATGGGAAAATATTTTCATGATTCTATACAACAAATGGTAGCTACAGAGTCACCCAGACCTGTAACTTATCTAATGCTCAGAATTGAATCATGTATACCTATATAATTCCCATGGTCAATAAATCCATTTTTTAAGACCAGAATATCAAAGGTACTTCTAACTTGGAATAACTCAGCTGGAAAGTATTTTATGGACAGGAAACTATAAATTCTAGTCCCACTTTAGGCATGAAAGCCGGGTGATTTTGGGCCTGTGATTCTCAGTTCAACAGAGTTGTGGGAGAAATCAGAAAGTATTTGTATATTTTTCACTTTAAATTATTTATAAAAATAATAAAAGCAGTGTTTAAAAATGTAATGTGTTCAGTTAAATTAAGCTTTCTTTTACCAATATCTGAGATAACACCCTTGCCCATTCATCCACTCAACTGACTTAAAATATAGGGAACCTGCAGCAGTTACATTTGCCAGGAAAATGTTTGGGAGCAATGAATTTGTCTATTTTCTAGTTGATTGCCCGTTCTGACATAGACTAAAAACTTCAAGCAAGGTAACTTGTGATATATTTTTATTTCTCAAGTTCTGAAGTTGGATCATTCTAACAGAAATGCCTCAGAACAAGCTTTTCATTCCTGAAGCCATTCATACCAGAGCTATTTGGTAGGCAGAGGCTGCACATATGTATGTAAACTTAGACATGGATACTCATATGCAGTTGCATACTTTTAGTAGGTGAACCGTTGCAGCTATGCAGTCACCTTACATGAGCTCTATGTATAAGGCAGCAGCATTGATAAATCCCAATGAATAGAACCAGTTCATCCCTCAAAGGATCATATTTCTCCTGCCTATTACAATTCATTTGTGATTGTGATCTGAAATGATGATATCTCATTTAAGAGGGATAGAGTTTATTGTGGAAACCAGCCAAACCTGTAGGCTCGGGTAAAGAGAAGCTAGTATGGCTGACTTTGTAACCCACTAATATTTTTCCTTATTTGATTGCGATAGGATATAAATGAAATAAATGAATAAAATTATAATCCTGCCTTTACAGCCCACAGGGACTAATCAAGAACCCTATTGCACAGCAAGAAATTAAACTCATCTTCCTGGTCAGTCTAGCCCTGAGCAATAAATACAAAATTGTGCTCAGAACATTGCAGTCACTTGTCTCAGAAACAATCAATACATCAGTTTTTCCATCTTACATAAGGGGGACTTTCCATACCAAAACTGGACCAGAAACTCCATAGAATTGTATCTAGAAAATAAAGATTTGTTTCAGAAACTACACACAATTGCATCTTCTCTGACATTCCAGATCTACAATTCTTCCTTTTAATAATTTCACCCCATTTTCTGCTTTCACAGCTGGTGAATACATATTAAACTTACCTTTCAGATTCTGTTCTTTCTTTTGTATCATGAAATGATAGCTGTTGCTCAAGATTGGGTACCTTCAGTAAGTGATAAAACTGGTTTGTTGTTTGTTTCTCCTAGGTTACAGAGGAGCGAAGGGATCAGGGTGTGTCATTAAGCTGCTGGTTGCCACACACATTCAGAATAGATTTATGGAAACTGTTTTGCCTATCTGTCAAACTCATACCTTAATTAAAGATGGATAAAGATTCACAGGTTTAGTTTATACTTGTTTTTTTAGGGGTCAGACAAAATTTAAAGCTCCAGATTTTAAGATAATGTTTGCAGGCTAGAACAACTGATCTTTTAAATAAAAAGTTAGAAAGTCCTAATATTATTTTAATCAAATATAATTAAGTGGTATATGCCAACTTTCTGCCTTTGCTCAGAGAAATGATTAAACGGGAAATTTAGTGTGAAGACTTTCTATGCTCCAGATGGCATAGATCTTGCCTCATATTGAAAGCAAAGCAACTGCATTGATCAACAAACCATTTACCAAGATCTGAGTTCAATTCTGTATCTAGCTTTATCTATGTTTCAATATGGTGTCTGTGAATTTGCTTCATTAAAAAAAAATCCTGCAGTTCACCATTTCTCAAGACAAAATGAAGAGAAAGTTCTTAAAGAACAACATACTGTAATGTGGAATATTAATGTAATGAACTTCCTTGGCAAATGCTTTTTAAAACTGGGATTTTAATTCTAAGACAACACTATTGTCTTCTGCATTCTACAGTGCAACATTTTGCCAAAAAGGATTAACATATTAGAAGAAAAAAAATCCAAACATGTATAATGGGACCAATAATAATGGAATACTCATTTGTCATCTTTTGGTGGATCCTAACAGATAATTACCCCACTGTATAGTCTGGATTTTTCTTCCATGGATCCACAAAGCTGTTTTTATTTTGTATAGTAAAAGATGCAGATGTATACTCAAAGGTTCTGCAAGGGCAGCATTTGGGCCAAATATTCCTGACTGACTAATTTCAGGGCTTTGATCTACAATGATGTTGTGCAGCTTACTAGTATTGATGATCTAATTAGTAACTGAAAATGAAATGCTCCAGGAGTTCACTAATTAAATCAGCATGAACGGATTATTCTTGTAAACAATGCACAACCCTGAAAGCCCTACGCCTTCCGATTTTTTTGTTGCTTATTATTTGTAGTAGATCCCATAGAATTATAACTGCATATCGCTGTGGGACATCGGTAATAGACTTGGCTGGAGCAGAAACTGGGCAGGACCTGTAGATCGCAGTAGGCGTGGTCAAGCTGTCCCTCCCCGCACCTAGGAAGTCTCACGCATAGCCTTCCATTCATTGATATGCCCGAGTGCGTATACATTTGTAAACAACGGTCAATGTAAACTCGCACGTGACTATCCCACGCATATAGATAACGTGGTCATCACTCATTCAAGAACCCATTCAAGGAGAGGACAGATGGAGAGAGTGGCCAGCCCCTTTCTTACGCCTGCAAAGACCGGAAGAATCTTGGCTTACGCCACCCATCCCTCCCTCTCCGGTTCTGAGACTCCGGCCTAAGGTTTCCGAAGGATCCGGATCAGTCAAGCTTCCCTGGGAGTTTTAGCACCAGAAACCGCCGCCAATCCTCCTCCGCCAGGCGCGGACGGGTTGCCAGCCCGGTTTCCAAGGATCACATGAGCTGCTCTTGTCTTCCTAATTGGTTCCTTCGTGGGCCGACGCCTCCGGCGGATCGCAGCCTCGTCGCTGCTGAGGACGGACGGCCGCCGTGTAAAGCGGGGTCGACGCGCAATGGCCGATACCTCCGGGAGTCGGCCGCGCATTCTCTGCCTCTTTGACGTGGATGGGACTCTCACCCCGCCTCGGCAGGTAACGCGATCGGGAACCCCCGCCTTCACCCCTCCCGCTTTCGCGATCGTCCTCAGCTCGTCCTTGAACACCTTTGCGGAATGAATGGGGAACCGGGGCATCCCGGGAGCCTCGGCGGGCGGGACCCTGAAGCGTGCTGCAGAGCACTGGCGCTGCTTGAATCCGAGCCTGGACCCGGCAACGCCGAGCGAGCCCAGCGGGGGGAAAGTGGCGCTTCTCCTGCCTTCTCCTCTTCTACCTCGTTCCCGCCCTTTGAAGCTCTGGATGCGAGGCGGTTGCGAGAGACGCGATGTGGGAGTTCAGTTGCCCTCATATATCGCGGGGAAGAGGGGAACCGGTGTAGGTGGGGGGGGGAGAAGCTGCAGATTGCCCCGAGTGGGCTTTTCAAAACGATTATGTAAGAAATGTGAAGAGGACAAAGCGGCTCAGGTTGGTTGGGGAGATAAAATCCGGAATGTTTTGTAGGACTTTAACTTAAAGCGAACTCACCCCCCCCCCAGCCTAGGAAGCGCTTACCACAGGACTGGCTACAATTAATAGCTGTTGTCTTCCAAAATTGATCAGCCAAATGTATCCAGAAGTGCAATTGGGAAATTTTGTCCCACTTTATGACCTTTCTTGCTACAGTTAAATGAATCACTGCAGTTGTTAAATTAGCAACCCAGTTGTTTAGTGAATCTGTCTTCCCCATTGACTTTGCTTATCAGGTCACAAAAGGTGATCATATGACCTTAGAATACTGCAATAGTCATAAATGTGAACCAGTTGCCAAGCATCCAAATTTTGATCAAGTGACCATGGGGATGCTGCAACGGTTGTGTGAAAACAGCCATAAGTCATTTTTTTCTGTGCCGTTGTAATTTCATACAGTCACTAAACAAAAAGTTGTAAGTCGAAGACTACTTGTAGTGCAAGTGCAACACATTTGGAAGTACTATAATGGACTGATTATTTTAATACTTAGGTACATTCATTCTAAGTATTGCATGGAGATTTATTACTAGAAAATCCAAAATTATTGAGACATCGTTTCACAAATATTTCCTTATCTAAACAGAGAAACCAACAGCAAAACATGGAGACAAAATATTAGTGGGAGTGGGAGCAATGTGCAATTTCCCGTCGGGCTCCCCATTAAGTTTCCTGTGGGAAGCTTGCAGTGAGCATTGGAACTCTTCTTCCTTTGCCCTTTCTCCCTGTTCCTTACTTCCCCCTTTCCTTCCTCTCTCCCTTCCTTCATTCTCTCCTTTCCTACTGTTATACTCCTTCCTTTCTCTCTGTTCCTCCCTACCTCCCTTCCCTCCCTCTCCTTTCCAGCAGGCAGGTAAATGGCTGCTGCTGGGTGGGGGAGGGAATAAGGAGTGCAGTGCAAGTGCAGAAGGATTTATGGGAAGCTGCCAGGGAATGTTGAAAATGAAGAACAGGAGGCCATCACTGACCATGGCCGCACAATGGCAACATTGAAGCAGCAACAGCCAAACAACTGAAGCAGTCACAACCTCCCCAAATTTCATTCATTTGGGAGTCATGGGCCCCAGCATTCTATAAATGAGCGCATTTCAGATACCTTAGTTGAAAATATTTTGCCCTGTAATGCACTGTTTTGCCTAGATAAAGATTACAGACATGAGAGCTTTTGTAATATATAAATGGCTCCATTCTAGATCTGTATTCCATTAACTGGTAGCTGAACTATTGAGTTCCATATAAGTCGCCATTGTATGAAAGCTTAATTCTCTTTGTCTGTTTTGAAGTTACTGCAAATTCCATTCCTCCAGTGACTTTTTTTCTTCAAATATATTACAGTTAGAACTTTAATTCATTCACCTGTATGGTAGAGCTAGCTGTACCTGTAACCAATTTTAATATGATGATTGAAAGTTGGAAGGGACTATCAAGCCTTATTCAGTTCATGATTCTTCCTTCACCCATTTCTTTGCTGGATTGATATCCTGATTAGAATACCAAGAAGGTCATTTTGTTGCATTCAGTCTAAATGTAATTTTCCAATTAGGTCAAATTCTGAAAAACAAAACACTTGGACAAATAAAGTAGTATCTTGCCCTTTATCAAAGTGATCAGCACATCACTACATCTAAATGGACCATCATTTAGAAAGAAAAGAATGCTCACCACTAAGCTTATTATTCCCTAATATAAGCCAAAATAACCCCTGAAGCAACAAAAAACATGGCAGAATAGTAAATGAGACCTAGGTAAGACAGCAGTGTCTGTTGTTGTTTATAGACCAAATAGTTCTGAGTGGTTAAGAATGAGATAGAAGAGATACGAGCAGAAGGAAAAATGTTCCATACATTTCCAATTTCCCTTCCCTGGACTGTCCAAAGCTCTTACATTTTATTGCTCTTCCACTATTTCTAAATAAGGGTTTTCTAGCAGTGTGGTTTCGTTTGGGTTTTTACCTACTGATGACAATTTATCTGGTGATGTTCAATATCGGTTGCCCTGGTTTATGAATATATATTCCGTCATGATGGATTGATTCGATTTTAACACACACAGGACCCATGTGCCATGTTGTATAATATCAATATGCTGCTATCTATAGCTTTTCCATAAGAATCTCTTTTTCTCTGTTTCCTTCAGAAAATTGAGCCTGAAATAGCAGAATTTCTTCAAGAGCTGGGTAAAAGAGTGATGATTGGGGTGGTTGGAGGTTCAGACTACTCCAAAATAGCAGAACAGCTTGGAGAAGGGGATGAAGGTAAGTAAGGAGTCTTTCTTTTGTCTCACTTAACTTTTATATTACAGAATTTTTATTAGTGTTTGGACATTGTTGAATGGCTGCATATTAATATCAAATCATGTTAGTGAACCATAATTCAAAGAAAAAGGAAACTTGTACAAATTCTTCTATAGCAAGTCTGCTCTAAGTATCGTAGACAAGTTATTATTTTTAATATAAAGATCATTTAAGAGTTTCAGCCAAGAGACTGGCCATTCTTTCCTATGCAAATGCTTTAAAGTGATAGAACAAAGCAGGAAAATCGAGTTTTAAGGCTATCGGGCACAGGAGCAGCCTTGCAAGAGGTATTCCTATATTTATGAGGCAAGTTCTAAGTTTAAATGTGTAGTTTTACATACATAACCAGGAAACTCAAGTGAAAAAAATCAAGGATAGAAACATTCCAGAATGCAAGGAATGTAGGAAACAACAGAAATTTGCAATGTAAATTTTTACAGACTTAAGTAACTTTCAGAACCAAGAAATAAATCATGAGTTTTATTTTTGTAACAAGTAATCAATCCTCCACCTGTAACCTGCAACAATCTAAGTAAGGTTTAAAAATGTTAATATTGCATGCTTGCATAAATTTGCATGAAAATGGCAAAATGCTTTCCAGTCCAAGTTTCCAGATAGACCATTAAGTTTGTGGAATTTCACTGTATGCTTTCAGATTAAGCTAGATCCAGTGCAGTAAAAAAAATGGAACAGTTATTACACATCCCTGTGTTCTTGTGTGTTAGTCATCATGTTTTGTCAGTAACAAAAATAGTACAATAACAGATTCTGAATCCTTCCTTCCAAGGAAAGGTGAGAACTCAGCTTTAGCACTCCTAAAATTATGAATGAGCATCACTGTTTACACAGCTTTTTTAGAGAAGCAGCGCAAATAGAATTCAACTAAATTCATCCATCTTGGCCTCTAGCCATCTGAATGATGAAAAGAGTTGCATTAATATTTGACTGATTTCTCTTCCGTTGATTTTTTCCCCTCAATTTCTCTACTCTTCCAACAACCATTTCCAACAGTCATAAACAAGTTTGATTACGTCTTTGCAGAAAATGGCACTGTGCAATACAAGAATGGGCAACTAGTCTCAAAGCAGGTAGGGCTAGCCTCTTTGTGTTTCTCCATTGACATTACAAATATTTAACTGCCATTTCTTTTCACATAAAATCACTCATAGGGAGAAAGTTATATTCAAAACCCTTTTAATTCATCTGGCTTCACATAGGAATTGAAATAAAGAATAACCTTATTTAAAAAATGAGGATGGATAATTTTTGTTGCCTAAGTATAGTTTGCACCAACTTCTCACTGGTGCTTATAGTGACTTAGTTTGCCAGGAACTGAAACTCAATTAACTCTGGAGGACCACTGGTTGCATAACCTTTTAATAAACCTCCAAAGGGAGAGCAAATCTCAATGAGTGATGCCAGAAAAAACATTAGTTCATAATGTAATATACCAGATACATGGTTGAACGTTATAAATTATTTTCTTTGTGACACAAAATATAAGATAATAAGAGACATTACAATTGTATTTAATAAGACATTTACTGATCCAACATCCACTAAATGTGTTGTAACTCTTAGAAATGGCTGGGATTGCTGAAAATTATGGCCCTAGTTGGATTTTGAGGAGACCGAGTCGAAGGAGGATGTTTTAAGATTATTATTTTTCTTTCAGTCCTTTTCATCCAGATATGACAATCTGGAAATGTCGTTGATTTTAGTACTACTGCAGAAGGTAAAATTGTTTCTCGAGTCTTACATCATAAAATAAAATTTGTTAAGCAACATTTTAAGATTTCACCTACCTTGATTTCTACTCTTTTTGGCAAAGGCCCCCTTTGTTTCAAATTAACATATTGTGTGGTGAAACCATCTGCTGTCTTCTGCTATCCATATCTGGGATCATGTTTTTTCAATTGTATCCTTTGTTCAATAGGCTATCCAGAACCATCTTGGGGAGGAACTTTTGCAAGAGCTGATCAACTTCTGCCTTAATTACATGGCACTTCTAAAGTTGCCCAAGAAGCGGTAATGTACTTTCTTTATATCAATATATGAGGGTTCTGTTTTAACATATAATGTTTGGAATTTGGATCAGAGGCAAAGAAAAAAATGCCCAGCTTTCTTTTCCCAGGCAAGGAACAATTTTGTCTAAGAATAAAGTTTTTCCCCATTTTCTTATTATTTAACTATTTTGTTAGAATTTCTAACTAATTATTGGGAAGAAAGTCCTTAATCTTCCACCCTAGTTTGAATATAGTCAGGATATTTTCTCAAAATTAAGCCATTTCAATTAATTCAAATTGGGTGTATGTCATATTCAGCCTTCTACAGGAGGCTGCTGAGAGACACAAAGGCATAATTTAAAGGTAGGTGTTGAGGTATTTCAGCTTGCATTGATAGGCAATTGCTTTTTAAGCATGGGAATAGGAATAGAGTCTGCTTGGGTCCTTAAAAAAAGTGAAAGTCTATTTTTTAAAGCGATTTGAGATTGGGGATTGGGATTAAGAGTAAATTTGAAGTGGGAGGATGACAGAATGAGAATAGAAATAGGAGTAGTTGGCCTTCTAGGAATTTTGTGCTCCTATTCCAATGCTTAATTTGTCTTTTAAAAATTCAGTATCACTGAAATAAAATCACTCAGTTAAAAAGTCAGTATCACTGAAATGGAACTATTTTAACACTGAATTGTAGCAACCCAAATTGAAATACTAGGGATCTTCAAATAGGGTGCTTGTTGAGGCTATATGCGCTTTTTAAGATAGAAGTTGCATACCTTTGTTTCAACCCCAAGGATTTTGAGCCTCTCTAACAGTACAGTGCTACCTTCCTACCTTATATTTTTCTTTCTTCTCCAAATATACAAAGGGGAACATTCATAGAATTTCGCAATGGAATGTTGAACATCTCTCCTATTGGTCGAAGCTGCAGTTTGGAAGAACGAATAGAATTTTCTGAACTGGACAAGGTAAATACGAGCATTAGACTGCCCAATGCATTATTAGTGGAGATGGTTTTTATATGTGTATGTATATGTGTACGTGTATGTGTATGTGTATGTGTATGTGTATGTGCATGTATATATACATATACATATATGCATACACATACACATATATATATTTAGAGTTACAAATGCCCAAATATGGGAGGAAGATCACTACTTCCATTCTCTGTCCTTCGGCTCATCACAAGAGACCATCCAGACAGAAACCCAATATTTTTACTGTTGCCTTTGTTACATTTGTGTTGATAAATATCTATACTAGTCTCCCTTTATTTATTTATCAGCACAAATACATACATACATACATATTATGCATATATATATATATATACACACACACACACATCATTCATACATACAAACATACATACATATATATTCCACTTATATTTTAGATAAGGGTGTATGTAAATCTTTTATTTAGTTTTTATGAATGGGACGTACTATGTGAGGAAGCAGAAATTATACAAAAAATTATACAAAAAATGAACCCAACAGTTTGCTGGAAGATCTCTTTGCACTGGTTTTGTGGAGAAAAAGTGGAATCTGATAAATAAAAATAACTGGTGTCTTTTTTTACACTTCTGGTTGCCTCCACTATAGAAAGAAAAGATACGAGAGAAGTTTGTAGCAGCTCTGCAGAGGGAGTTTGCGGGCAAAGGACTGCGATTTTCCCGAGGTGAGAATAAGAAATGTCTCATGGTCATTTTGGATGCTTTTTAGTGCATTTTATTTTGAGTGGGATTTGGCAAATAAAAATTAAATACTATTTAAAGCAGGCATGTGGTGAATATAACGTGATATGTGACTGCAAGGAAGTTAAGTACAGTTTTCGTTTGTATCAACTGAAGTTTCCAAATCACAGGAAATGTCTTTTGTTCAGACTCCATTCCTGTATTGCTTTGGCACCACCTTTTAAAAACACTTTTTAAAACACTGGAGTAGGCCAATGGAAAATGTTGAAGGCCAGTGGAGATAATTGATAAATGGAGATGACTGACCTAGAGCCTTATGAAGAGAGATTGAAATAGCAGGACATATATAGCCTTAAGCAGGGACTCGGAGGAAATGTGACAGCATTCTTCAAAAAGCTGAAAGAATATCACAAAGAATGCCAAGACATTCTTGGAATGAAGGGTTACACTCAGGTAGATTTCTTATATAAGTGGAGCTTTGCACAGCTTGAACTTCTGTATATCATTTTTTCAGTTGGCCAAATTTCTTCCTGTGGTTCTAGCAGGACCCACTGTTTCTTATGGCGAAGGTGGCAGCTCCTGGTATTTCTGCCACCAACATGCCTTATTTAGGAAAAAGTACCAATATGTTAGAGATTATATTCAAAACACTCATGAAGATGGTCCCTGTAGTGTTAGGGTTAAACTGAATTACATGAGGCATCTTCTAGGTTCATCCATGTTAATTAACTTCAAGCCATCCAGAGTTACGATGTGGCTAATAAATTTTACAAATAAATTATAAACATGGGATTTATGATAAACATGAGTGTTTCTTGTACTCCAGTTACATCAGAGCATGATAAAAGAATCCTTTCCCCCATTAGCCGTATTGTTAAGTACATTTTCACTTATTTTTCTGAAATGTATTTGTACTCTGCACATTATGTGTACTCAAACCAACTGTTTCTTGTTTGTGTGTTCAGCTGAGGGCCCACCACTAGTGCCAATTAATCTCATTGCTATGGAAACATCAACTCTAACATTATAATGTGTCTGGGAATCAGGCCGACACAGCAGCGCAGATCCATTTGCACAAAGACACAGTGTCTTATGCCAGAGATAGCAAAGATTTTACTCCCAAAAAATCTCATCTCATTTTCACTAAATTTTCTCTAAATCTGACAGGTGGTATGATTAGTTTTGATGTTTTTCCGGAGGGCTGGGACAAACGCTATTGCCTCAACATCCTTGAGGATGAGAAATTCGATGTCATACATTTCTTTGGAAATGAGACAACCCCTGTAAGTATATGATAAGAAACCATTTTAAGGACCGAGGAGAATGCTTCCCATGTTCTTATCAGAATGAGGTCTTCTCAGAGCCCAGTTACCACTATGGCTCAAAGACATCTTCAAACTGTAATTTCAATGTTTGAACATATAGGTAGGCATATTAGGGAGCCTCAGATATTGTCTGTTTACAAATTGAAGGATTCTACAAGTGCTTCTCTGATCAGAATTTCCAGTGAGCAAGGCCTAGTTCATACAAGATCCAGCTTGTATCAAGATCTTGTAAATCATGCAGACCCACAGCCCAAGATATGTTCTGGCAGTCAAGTCATTCTTTCTTTTCCATGGGCTGTTTCATCCACACATGAAAGAGAGAGAAACCTGCTTTTTTGGAGAAGAAATTACAGTCACTGTAAAAAGGCTTCTTCAATAGTTTCCCCCCACCCTCCCATTTTTGCTAGCTCTTCCATGGGTTTGCATGAATTGAAGACAGAAGAGCTGCCCAATAGGAGCCAGCAAACTTTTCCTGGCTCTTGCTAGGCTTTGAGGAAGCCAGACATTTGGGGGGCTTGAAGTCTTCTGACTGGGGCAGGAGGTTTGTTCTGAAGCTGCTATCTTCGCATGTAGGCAGCAGGTTTCCCAAAAGCCTAGCAAGAGCCAAGAAAGGTTTGCAGTCTCCCTAACGGCCAGCTGATTGGGTAGAAAGTTCTGAAAGCAGCTGTCATTTCTGCAAGGAATTGGTGTGCTGAAAGTAGCAGGTCTTCCAGGATGCATGGGAAGCAAGCCCAAGCACTGCAGGGTCCCAGTGGGGCGGCATGGGAGTGTAGAGAGATGGGGAGGTGCAGTGTACCTGTGGTTGATCTGAGAGCGACTGGCTTGGGGAGGTTGCAGCTGCCATAACCTAAAAACAGGATCATATGTAGCTTTGGGAGGGAAAGGATCTGCCGTAACTTCAAACAGATGTTAAGTGACCAGTCATATAGTGAGGAATGTCTGTATGCATTTTTAAAAAGAGTCATTAGTAAGGCCCTTTTGCCATCTATGAAGACTTTCTTGTTGCAAATTTTATTCTTGCTTAAACGTTCTTAAGTCCCTTTGTATCCTTTCTCAATTATGGATTTTTAGATGGACTATAATTTCCCTGGGAATTGGCACATGCAGATTGGCTTGGGCTAATCCAAGTGGAGCCAGATACCCATTCTCAGTGGAGGCAAGAGAATTGGATGCATGTTTTTTCCATGATTGCTGTCACAGCACTTCCAGCCTCATGAATTTAAAAATCATAAAGCAGAAGGAATAATATTCTTTATCTCCTTAGGGTGGGAATGATTATGAAATCTATGATGATCCTCGGACAGTAGGACATAGTATCCATTCTCCCCAGGAGACAGTTCGGCGATGTCGAGAAATATTCTTTCCAGAGACAGTGAACAAATCTTGACTCACGGATCTTCTGCTGCTATTCTTGTTCACTTCATAAAAGCACCTTTTGAATTATAATCAAGGCTTGCCGAAGCCCAAGGTTGAAATGCACTTTGGAAATGGAGGTGAAGTGCGAAAAGGGAAAGAGAGTTAAAGTGCCATTACCAGTTTGTAGTAATAAGAATCTACAGAACGCTGACTGCCATATTTCATCCTCCCAGCCCCTAAAACAAAAAGTTTCGTTTTAAAGGGAGCTGGGTCCTTTTTCTAAAACTGTGAGAGAGAAGGAGAGAAATAGAAAGGTGGTAATCTCTTCATATATTCACCCAAATCAATTTCTGAGATTAAAATAATTGTATTAATAGGTTAAAGGGAAAACAATCTGATCTTTCAAAGTATTTTCATATTCTTGAACCCTTAAGATGGCCTGCCATTTTTTAAAAAAGTGGAATCAGGTTTTTTTTCAAGCTAATAATGAATAAGGAAAACACCCCTAATCTATTACTAGCCATGCAGAATGCAGAGGGAGATAGAAAGTAAACTTTGAAAGATAGATCCTGTTGAAAATTATTAGTCATAGACATCACCATTCTACTCAGCTTTCAGTATCCATTAGAATATTCTTCTGTGGCTTCTGATCTAATATGTGAAACCATCTGTTTTAAATATGACTGGTGCTCAGGTTTATTTTATCATAGATAATGTATTTTTGGTCCAATAAAAGTAGAGTTTGTGTGTTGAGGTCAACACGTCTCAGTAGCCTTGCATATTGCAAACTGCTCCTTCCCACAAGTAGGTCTGGGGAGCAGCCCTTGCTTTAGCTTCAGTTGTTGGAATATTGTTTACTTGCACTTTGTTCCCATTGCACAAACTCTTCAAGCAGGATTGTACTATCACCTTAATTATCCAACCTAACTATAGAAGTGCTGGCAATATCATTTAGAACTAATGATCAGATGAATGGAATAAAAATGGGAGGTAAATGTATCTTTTAAATCTGTTTGCAGATTATTTTGATTCCATATATATATATATAATGTGTTTCTCCAAAAAGAAGGCCGGGTCTTTTTTTTTTTTTGACCCCTGAAAAAATGGGGCTAGGAGGGTTCTAATTATTGACTCACCTCACGACAGTGGCATTGACAGCTCCGCCCAGCAGGAGCCCACTGTTGGCCCACTTCTTCTGCGGCTGCTTGCTGCTAATCTCACGCATCGCCCCGGCCTCCATTTCAGCTTCAAATGCCTGCCGGAACGTATCTATAGCCAATAATAGAGCTCCGGATCCGGAGCTCTGTTATTGGCTGCAGATGCCGGCAGACATCTGAAAGCAAACGGGGGCCAGGGCGATACGTGCGAGTGGCAGTAAGCGGCTGCAGAAGAAGGTGAGGCATGTGTCAGGGTGTGTGAGGCCTGGTAAGTAGGACAGCTCCACTACCACCCATCCCCACACTAGCTTATTTTTTTACCTGTGTGCCTCAGCCCATCTCCTGCACCCCGGGGTGGGCGGGGTCTTAAGGTAAAGGTTCCCCTTGCATACATACACACATACACTTTACAAATAATTATGTGCCAACTTGAAATAAATTAATTAAAGAAATAAAAAACTGGGCTTCAAAACATTACAATATTTTGGGATGAATTACAGTGGTTAAAATGAGAATTCTTGCACAGTTGAACTTTTTATTTCAGTGCCATAGTGATAACTCTTAAATAGGCTTTAAGACATTGGCAAAAAACTAAGAGTAAAATAATTATTTATACAGATCTCAAAAACAGGGAGGTTTGGTCATGCCCAATTTGTTAATACATTATTGAGCATTGCAGCTATGGCATATTATTCCATGTATTCTGGGAGACTCATCTAAACAATGAATTCATTTTGAAGCTATGTAAGAACCAGATAAGTTTATAAATCAATGGCTTTTTATCCAAAATGTTTTTCTAGAATAAAAGAGATGGAAAATGTTTTTACTAAAACAATGCTTTAAATTTGAAAGAGTAGATATGCAGTTTTGATAAAGCTTATTCCTCCTTTAAATACTTCTATCAACATAAATTGATCAGGATTATAGTCTGGCTAAAATGAAATCTTTGAAAAAGATATTTATAGATTTTTTATAGTAATAGGGAACCTTTCAATAAAGATCAGATTGAGCAATGAATAGGTGACAAATTACCAAACTTTTCTGATATCAATTTAAATTTCTTTTGGGTAATAGAGATTCAGCAACATGACCCGATATCCATTTTGAAAATTTAATACTTTATCATTTAAAAGAACAAAAAACAATTTCAAAAATTTATTGGTTGTGATTGCAATCAGAAATAGAAGATTTATTATATATTTTAAAGGAAGCTTGGGATACGGATCTTAGTAATCCTGTACAGGAGACAAATTGGCAGAAGTTCTGAAAAGAGCTTTGGCTTCAATGCAAAAAATGCAATGGAAGATAATTGGATTGTTGTACAATGCCCAGAGTCATTTTCTATGAGATATGTGATATGTGAATTTGATTGATTGGCTGATAAATAAAATGAAATGAAACATCATTGTTGGTACTTTACTCCTGGTTAGGCTAGCTCATACTGGATATATCGAAATTATTCCTCCAAATTTTGGAGATGATGTTAAGTCATTTTTTTTTCATTTGTTGTGATCATGCAATAAAGATATGAAATGGATGCTATATAGTAGCTATAGTACTTTTATATAACCATGGCACTAATTTAGAGACTTGAACAGGCATTTCATCACTTGCTTCCTTCTTCATAAATAGTGCTATGATGCAATTAGAGGCATCGAAAGAAATAAAAGAATGATGAGAAGCTGGTATTATTGATGAAATGAAATTAACCCATTCTTTTCTGAGATACTGAGGGTTTTGATTTAAAATAAATATTGCCAGCTCTTCTTAGGTTAGTTTCCATTCCTTCTCCGGGACGGTTATGAAGTACTTAATATAGGGACATACTTATTACTGTGAAAGCCACAAGGTGGTCTATTTCTCAGATGGATCAAAACACACACACACACACCACTTTATTAAGCAGGAATGTTTATTTTGATGTCATGTATGTTAAAGAAACCCAACTATTTTGCTGTAGCTACAAATTTGTGGGGCTTTATTGACAGGCAGCTTTTATATCATTATAAAAGTATGAAAATAATAAAATTGAATTAAAAATGAGAACGTATTATAGTCAAGTGTCTTTTTTAGTTCATATTTGTAACTTGATATAAAATTAAAAGTAAAAATATAGTAGGAAGTCAATAAGCAATGCCTTCACACTGGTTCATTAAAGTTTAAGCTAAAAATTCTGTCTTTGGAACTGAATGGTTTGCAATATGTTAAAGCATATATGATTTACTACCCTCAGCTTAGAAATTATACTTCCAGATAAAAATCATAACATTCATAAAAGTCATTGATAAAAACCATTAACAGGAAGCTTACAAACTTAGTAGTAGTATGGAGCAATATAAAATACCTCATTTAAACTTAGGAAAGCTATTACTAATACTGCGCTAGATGGTTCAGTGATCTGACTTCACTGCAAAGTAATCTGAATTCATTGCTAAGTAAAACTACAACATTCCAGAAGTTGTTCAGTGCCAACTCATTACTTTTAAACAGCACAACCAAAAGCATAGTGATAGGAGCTGCAGTCTACCAATGACTAGCATGCAAATACTGTTCACCCTATATGGATTGCATGCATTATGCTGCTAATCAAATAACAATTTCCTGCAGACTTCATTTCTGCATCACTAATTCTAGGAACAGCTACCCCATTCCCTTTACCCAATATCCTTAGACACTCATCTCAAAAGACCATTGTGAAACGAAAAAAATTCAGAACAGGAAACACTCTTGGAAAGTCAATTTAATTATTTATTGCCAGTGTTACAAAGATCAACATGGGGTTAAAGAGGCAAGAACCACACAAAAGGTTGTTAGAACACAGACACATAGATAACAAGGTTATTTCAGAAAGAATTGAAAGCATTCTTGGAGAGAAGTCACAGTTTTGTGGTACCCCCACTGGTATTGCACCATCAAGGAGGGATAGGCTTGAAGCTGCTGGTATTACATATGTGCAGGAAGTTCCTCTGACTGTCACAGGAAGCACGTCTCATAAAGCAAAAGGAAAGTGGCCTCCTTCAGATCTTCACTTCATTGGATTTAAGAGAAGCTGCTGCATCTCAAGGACAAGTTCAGAAAAACTCTCCCTCTATATATATAGATGAATGATAATTTCTTTCAAAATCAATATACTCCATTTTCTCCTGCAAGTATGGAGATTTCTTTCAAAATAGACCATTGGGAATGTTTTATTTGGATTTTTAATTGAAGGAGGCAGAATATTCCTGTAAGTCACTGGAATAATGAGGACAGACATTTCAGGAACAAGGGAACAAAAATGTTCCACAAAATGACCTTAACCAACTTTTTTATAGCTTTGCTTGGAAAGAATTTATTTCTTAACACAAACACAGTTGTAATAAATCCACACAGACTTCTTGGAATATGTTAATTAACAGCATATTGGGAACGGGGGGGGGGGGAATGTTAGGGTACCGTTTTATTTCAGGTTCCCTATATACAGAAACAAATTCCGGAAGAACTAAGTTGCACTCCATTTCTACCCACATCGGGTTTAAGGGAGAATATTTTAAAAACTTGGCTGTAATGTAACATCCATTCAAGAAAGAACTGTATGAAAGCCTTCTCTACCTTGCACCATCCAAGTGTATTAAAGTGGCAGTTCCCAGAATTTCCACACAATATGGCTTTCCAGGAGTTGTAGCCCTAGCAAATCAGAAGGGAATTAATTTGGGAAAGGTTGCATTATACCAATGTTCTTCAAATTTGGCAACTTTAATATATGGACTTCAGGTCCCAGAATTCCCCAGACTGGCTATGGAAATTTGGAGTATGAATTACACACATTAGAGTTGCCAAGTTTGAAAAACACTGCATTAGATTGGCATCCTTACAGCTAATTCTGGTATCATTTGGAAGTCCCCAAATCCTTATGGCTATGAGGGCTTTCTCTTTAATCTTTTGGGTTGAAATATAAATAGAGCAGAACTCCACACCCTCTTGCCACCTTGCATGAAATTTGCCATAAATCTAGGTTGGCAGTATACTGTAGAACTAAACTATCTGTGTGGGGTGTCCCCCTTGAAAACTAAATATGAAAATTAGGCTGTTTTCAAATAACTATTTCTACAGAGCAACAGCCTATCCTGAACCCTCCCCATCTCATCTCACATCTAAGTGCAAGTTTATAAAGTATCAAACGGGCTGAAATCCCACAAATAAGAACAGTAAAAGTATGTTGACAGACACTCACCCACACACACACACACACACACACACACACACACACTCATTAAGGACACTGGAAATACATCCCAAATACAAAAAGCAGTT